TCCCCCCCCCCCCCCCCCCCCTTTCCATTCTTTAAAAAAGCAATCTTGTCTAAGGTAATCTATTTTACAGGAAGAAATATCTAAAGAATTAAATGGAGTGTTTGAACACCAGTCATCGTTGGAGAACAAGATGGTGGGACTACACAAAACCCTGTAAGTATGACAAGTGTTGTTGAAAGTGTAGGAGAACCAGTAATTCAGGAGAATTGATTTAAATTAGTTAAGAATACTAGATCTAATCTGATAAGTAATAAAAGTTTATGATTCTGATGATGTTTTTTTGTATTTCAGACCCAATCTTCAAATACTGATGAATGATTCTAAACAGCTAAGCAGTATGATCTCATTCACCTCTACCTTAGCTGAAAATGTTAGCAGCAAAGTTAGAAAACTTGACTTGGCCAAGGTATAATTAGCTTTATTCAGTTTTCTCTTTAAGATTATTCCATTTGTCTTCTGAGAATCCAAAAATATGGCTTTTGATTTTGTGAAATGGAGGTTATGTGTATGTGTGATATCCATTTTTTTTTTTTCACTAAATACACCAATGACCCAATTAGATATCTTAATGCATCTACATAAATTCACCATGGCCGTTTTTGAAGATCATATAACTTGAAACATTTCAATGAAACTATTATGGATAATAATTTGACCTGTAATTATTTAGATGATCATATAAATGAATATTTGTAGAGTCAAGTATCTCAATGTATTACTAGAGTAGAAGATATTTTAGATCTCAAGTTCTGTACTGATGGTGTTCAAACAGCTCTTCAAAATGAAGATTACGAAACTGTGAGTATAATATATGAAAACGATTATAATGTGATTAAAAATTCAATGTAATAATTTAACATATTTTGTATGTGCATCATATATACATGTATATCTTTGTGTATAGTGAATAAGATATTGACTTAAGGTATTTTTCATTTGACTTAATAAAGGCATTTGTACTTGTAGGCAGCAGGACATGTTCATAGATTCCGTAATCTAGATGAATCCGTCATTAGAATGAGTTCAGACACTGCAGAAGGTAATACCTATATTTTATGATGTTCTAATAATATACCTGGCTGAAACAATGTTTATTTCTTTTTAACTTAATGTTTTATTTCTATTATATTATTGGTAAATCTTTCCATAAATTTTGATACATAAAAAATGCATACAAATCTTTCTTTGGTTCTGTCACAAATATTGCTTTGTCTTTTTAAGGTGGCTCACTAGAAACATCATTTAAATTATTACAAGAATCAGAAGAGAAATTAAAGACAATTGTTAATAATAAATTTTCTTCTGCTGTTCATTCTGGTGATGTGGCTTCGGTTGAAAGATTCTTTAAGATATTCCCCTTGTTAGGAATGCATGAGGAGGGGTTAACAAAATTTGGGAAATATTTAGCATCACAGGTAAGTCAAAAGAATTTAGGAAAAAACCTGAAATTTGAAAAGTTAAATATTTAAACAAAATTCCCAAGCTTTGAAAAAAGTTCAATTTGAACATTTTTTTTAGTTTTGTTCTTTCCCTTGAATTTTGTATCAAAGAATTAAAATACTTGTGTCTTTAATTCTAATTAGAGGAATTGTAGACTAATAATTCGTCCATGACCATCCCAACTGTGAATACATGTGGATAATTTGTGACAATCAATATGTTATTTGTGTGGCAAAAAACAAGCTAATTATTAATATAACTGTTTTTTGTAGTTATCCGAAACAGCAGATAAGAATTTAAAGCTAGCTATACAATCTAACAATCCTAATGATGATAAAAGATCTAGTGTTCTATATGCTGATACTATTATAATGTTATTAGAGAGTATCGCTAGGACAGTAGAAGTACATCAACCCTTGGTAGAAACATATTATGGTCAGTATAGTTGGTTTAGCTCATATGTATTGGTATAAACGATATTGATTTGTGCATTTTCGCAATCTCAAATAGAAGACTTCAAAGAGAAGATATTTGGCTATCATCCTTCCTTGTCTTTGAATGGTGCAGAAAAGTAGGACATAAAACTCTATTCATTTCATTTCATTTGTCTTTGAAAATTGAACACTGCTATAGTTCCTTTAGCTTCCAATATTAATTTTCTTTTTTTTAAATAATTTTTTAAATGTAGTATGTGAGACTATAAGTATACACTTTTTATGAAGTTTTATTTGATTGCCTTGTAGGGTTTGGTAAACTTATAACCTTATTAAAGATATTACAGAAAGAATGTGATAGACAGATAAGAAAAGTTATTGATCATTTTAAGTCCAGTAGAGAATATGATAAAAAGGTATGTTCTGAAGTATATTTTTAGTTAGTTAAGTATATGATGTGTATGTTTATTTATTTGTAAACATGCTTTATCTTTTTTTTTTTATAGGTGAAATTAGTACAAACAAGTTTAATGTCACAAAAACAGAATTCTACAGAAAAGTAAGTTTATTAACATAAACTTTAAGTTTTGAGGTTTTTTACATTGTTTTTTTTTTATTTCTGTTAGTCTTTAAATGATGCCATATAATTGCTGTGTTGTATCAAAGTTGCAGTGTAAAATTGACAGCATATTTTTTGATTATAGTTTCGTAATGAAAAGGTTGAATGATTTCTATTTTTATGAAGACTCGACCTTTAATAAGGTTTTTTTTTCAGTTATCTTGATCCAATGGAGATAGATTTATTACTGTCAGAAACTGTATTGATAAATAGTCGCTCAGAACTATATCTTAGATTTATAAAACGTAAAGCAATGGTGAGTTAAATCTTCACAAACTTGTTTTTAAATTTATTTTTCGTTAACTTGAAATAAATGTAAAATTTTAGTTGTTTTTTTTAAGAATTTTTTTTCAATTATGAGTTTAATTGTAAAATGTTATATTTTCAGAGTGATATTGAATCAGCTCATCAAGAAAATTCTTCTTCAGAAGGTGAGAGACATTATTACATATAATATAGAATGTTACATCGTATGGTTGATAAGCTATTTAATTCTTCTCTTGTATGTTGTTGTCACATCATCCATATTTACAGTCACATCATCCATATTTACAACCTACAATTTTAAACCAATTTGTATGTGTATACATAAACTTAAAGGGACATTCCGCTTTTTTGTAGGTTAAAAAAATGTTCTGCTCAAATTTATGAAAACTATAAACCAAAATCTAGAGAAATGTATACCAGAACGTATCTGAATGTTTTAACTAAAAAATCCAGCTATTAATTTTTTAATGCTAAAACTTTATGTAAAACATTTCGTTACCTTTTAAAGTTTCGTTATGCTTTTTGCAAGCTGTTAGAAAACTACTGTACAGATTTGAGTAAAATAATTGCCTAATTGTAGAGAAATATGTCTCCTACGTTTTCTAAAGATTTCAACTAAATATAACGATCCATTAGAAAGCCAATCACCGAAACTAGGTCAAACTGCTTAATTAACGATTAGTACTCTCAGTTTTTAATTAACCCTTTTAAAACCAATTCAGTTTGATCAAGTAGATACATAAACTGACGGGCAAAAGTAAGTTTTTACTTTAAAAATCGTTGTAAAAAAGCAAAAAAACTGGTACAGGTTTGAACCCCAGCAGCAAACATTTGCCTTAATACAACGTTATCATGACCACAATGCAGATTCTCGAACGCATCTCTCCAAATCGTGCATGCTTAAAAACGTGCAAAACGCGATTTTGCGACATTGGTCCAAATGCACATGCACGACGTGGACAGAACAGGCATTCAGTAAGGGAAAAACCACCAAAAGTATGCCAAGACTTGCGCAAGCGCAACGAGATAGAGCGAGCGGTAAGGACAATATAAGGGCTTCTCAACAACAGAAAGCTAGAACCTTCAACTGCTCCCAGAACACCATCAGCAATTTAATAATCCGGCTCGAACAGACAGGACAGTTCCAAGACTGACAAAGATCGTGAAGACCGAAGGTGACAACACCGGCCGACGACCGCTACATCGGAGGATTCATCTTCGAAACAGATGGGTGACAGCGACGTCGACAGCAGCAACAGCACTAGGTCATCAGCAGCCGAACAGTCCTTGAAGACTTCGTTCAGTTGGTATCCAAGCCTATAGACCCTTCCGTGGAATGGCGTTCATCCGTCTACGCAGATTACTATGGGCACGAACTGTATGCCAGTGGCCGCGACGTGACTGGGCGAGGGTGCTCTGTACAGATGAAAGTCGGTTCTGTCTGTTCAGGAACGATGGCAGGGTTCGAGTTTTTTGACGAAACTGCATCACAGAAGTTCACCCGTTTGGAGTTGGAGGCGTCATGGTATGGGGTGGAACAGGATTCCTGTTGACGTTATCCGCCGTCTGATGACGTCAATGAGGAGGCGTGTGTTTGCGTGCATGTTTTCTAAGGGTGGCCAAACTCGTTATTGATGACGTTTTGCCTACTGTCATGGAATAATCTCCTTATGCACATTTGCAATGAACTTCAGCTTGTGTAATTTTATTATTTTGACCCCTTGACTCTTCCTTTATGTATTGCGGAGAATTGAATATTGGTATTACAATGCAAGGAAATTGATTTCTGTTTATAAATCAATCATCATATATCTCACATATGCCTTTGTCTTTGGTGTGTGGCCAAATGAAGTCGGTGAAAACTTTCTTTTGCCTGTCACTTTAGATATAAATAGCATACTTTAGAAATATTTTCAGGATATTATTTATATTAGTTTTTATACGCCCACATGAATATGTAGTCGTATATTGTCATGCCCCTGTCAATCTGTCGGTCCGTGAGTTCGTCAGACTGTCTGCAACATTTCTTGTGGACACAATAGAGACTACAGTTTTTTATACGCCCACATGAAATGGGGGCGTATATTGCAGTCACCGATGTCCGTCCGCCCGTCCACAATTGCTCGTAAACACTCTACAAGGCACATTCTTGGCTGATTTTGACGAAACTTGGTATGGTTGTTTGTAATCACCCAAGGATGAACCCTATTGAAAATCAGAAAAATTGAAAAATATTTAGTATGAGTTATTGCCCTTGTTCTTGAAACGCTCGTAAACACTCTAGAAGGTGCAATTCATGACAGATTTTGATGAAACTTGGTGTAAGTATTTGTTATCACCCAAGGATAAAGCCTATTGAAAATCAGAAAAATCGAAAAATATTTAGTATGAGTTATTGCCCTTGTTCTTGAAAACTCATTCAATTTGTGACTCGTAGAAACTGTTAGAAGGCATGATTTTTGCCGGATTTTGACAAAACTTGGTTTTATTATTCAGTACCACACTGAAAATTGAATATTTGTCTTCTAGAGTTTTCAAGAACAAGGGCAATAACTCATACTCAATATTATTCAGTATCGCCCTAAAGAGTTCCAAAGAAGTGTTAAACTGAAGGTTGAATATTTCATACTGGTAATGGTTACTGTACTGCTGAATATTTTTATTCAAAATCAAAGCTGCCAGTGGGTGTATATTACCTTGCCGGGCAAGCTATTTTGTTTGATTGTAATGAAACTTGGTGTGAGCATTGGGTTTCATAAGATGGTGGTCAAGTTCGAATTTGACGATTTTTCCATGAACTGCTTTTGAGTTATTGCCCTTAACTTAGTAAAATCACATCCAAATTTTGTTGGGGGCACAATAGAAGCTACAATTTTCAATGGATTTTGATGACACTTGGTGTGAGCATTGGGATTAATAAGACAGAGGTCAAGTTTGAAATTGATGATTTTTCAAGGAATTTTTTTTTAGTTATTGCTATTGACTTAGTAAAAATACATCAAATTTGACTTGTGTAAACACGTTAGGGGTTACAGTTATTATCGGATCTTGATGAAACTTGGTATGTTTATATTAATGTGATCTCAGTAACGTTCAAATTTTTCTATGTTTGTTAGTTAGTTAGTGTGAATTTGATGATATGTTATTATATATCAATTTCCGACAGGAGAGGTGCGTGATAATTCAATGCTTCTGGGTTATTGCTATTGATTTGTCAAAAAACTCTAAATTGATGAGATATTCAGAGTTTTGAACTACAAATGCATAATGAAAATCTTCAATATGAGGAATTTGTATTATTATTGAAGATCTTTAGAATGTTTTTGGTCAATAAAGATTTAGTTATCATCTCTGACAGCTGCGAGTGGGTGTATGTTACCTTGCCTGGCAAGCTATCTTTGATCATGAAAATGTTTTACAAAAAAGTCTCCTTAAACAGGCCAAATTTTAGTATTTTCTGTGACCCTTGGGAACTTACTGTAAACTTTAATTGTTTCTCTGTTTCATATCATTGTAGAAACTGAAAATGATATAGAAGTCTTTATTAATAATTGTGATCTTAGTCGGGTTATGCAGGAATTAATTGGGAATTATATCATGATGGAAGAATACTTTATGAAAGAAATGGTTGTTAAGGTAAGTGATTTCTGATATACATGATATTTATATGATTAGGATATAATGTATTGACTGAAATTCTCTTCATTATTAGCTCGTGGAAACATGCATTGGTGTCTGTAAACTAATATTTGTTGATCATTTGATAAATTCAAGACTATTTCTTTTTTTCCCATGTGTAGGACTATTAATAAGATCCTTGACAAACTTTCTTAAGTTACTACATCTACCCTGGGAAAGATATTCATTTAATAATTTAACTTGATATGCACATATAAATTGGGAAACAGAAAGAGTTCATATATTTTGTAACATAATTAAAAGATGCGTTTATTCCTTAGGCAGTAAATATGGACACGATAGATGAAGTAGCTCATACATCAAGTATGGTAGATGATGCCTTCTTTATTGTTAAAAAATCAGTCAGGTAAGTTTATGTGGTTTATTTTTAAATAGAAATGTGACAAAATTGTCTTTGTATATGTAAGATTGCAAATTATTCATTACTCATTGAAACTGATTGAAAGACTTGTAAGATTATTTCAGATTATATGTCTAGTGAGATGGCTTATTATTTGGGTTTTGAATGCTATCTTCAGATTTGAACTCATACTAGGTTTGAATTCTGGTAAAATAAGAAATAACTACCTGATGCCACATTCATTTCTGGTGAGAGTTTACCCAGTGCATGTTTTCAACCCCTTCAACCATATAACCAATGTTCTTGTTTAGAAAACATTATATTATCTTGTATTACAGAAGAACAGTGTCAAGTTCTAGTATAGATGGTGTATGTGCAATGTTAAATCATGCTTGCTCAACCCTAGAACAAGATTTCCGTGAGATATTATACAGCAGACTAAGGGGAGGCTATCCATGTGGCTTTGATTTGCAACAAGCCTATAACATTATGCAGTCTAGTTTTCAACAGGGAAAATTGACAAGCTCTGATCAAGAAAAAGATAAAGCCAGATTATTATTTCTTGTAAGTTCTTTATTTAATGAATATCTTCAAGTTGTATTGCGAGACATTGAATGAACTGAAAACTTTATATATATATACATATAAATGTATCACACTACCACTGAGTTTCCTTCTATCAAAGATGCAGGTCGATAGAGCTGACAAAAGTTTGTGTCTTTCAGATGAGAAAAATGAAGTGAGGCCCAATGTACTAAGTATGTAAAAGAGTCCTTGACAGATAAAAATTAAATAAGAAAATCGGTGCTTACTGCATGGTGTTACCTGTCTTCATAATGCCAATAAGGTATATAAAAGTGAGATAGTTATTTTGTATTTCAGACTGCCCTAAATAATTCTGAAATCAGTTGTGATTATTGTAAAGCTCTGAAAACAAGCTTAGATGTAAGTATTTATCATATTATATTATATCATATTATATCATAGATATAAAGAAATTTTTAAAATTTGAGCAGTATTTATAGACTTTATAGTACTTGTATATTGACATGATATTAAATCATTTAGTTAAAATACTTGTTTGTCTTGTCTATAACTATAATATGTATGTTGACCTTATAGGATGAAGTTAGTAAAATATATTCCAATTGTAATGAACAATCAAAAGCTAAATTAGAGGTAAGTTCATGTAAAGCCAATTTTAAGAAAATTCTATTTTGTGGGACATTAAAATAGATTGTAGACAGATTGAATTTATACTAATTTATAGCCTTTGATGTAATGACTGATTGTCAAGTTAGAGTTATGGAGATATGTTTTGTTTCAGAAAGTAAGTTTTTTGTAATTATTTTTTAGAGTTGTTTAAATGATCTGGGTGGTGTTTCAACTAGATTTAAAGATGTGGTAGACTTTGGTTTCTCTCAGTTAACAAGTAGTGCTATAAAACCAAGAATAAAACCATTAGTTGATACATTCTTATCAACAAGTCATAATATTACGGAGGTTTGTATCTTTTGTTTTTTATTTAACATTTTTAACATCATGAATTGCTTGAGAGGTATCTTAGGTTCTGTTTGTGGTGTTAAATAATACCACTGTGAGTACTTAATACATCCAACTCCATTTTAGAATTAACCTAATGACCACTTATGAGTCGTGAAGTATGAATTTTCTCATAAATAGATGTTGAGTTGAGAATTCTTAATTCTTGAATGATAAATTTTTCCCTGAAGCTTTTAAAGGTTCTGGAGTTTTTGTAAGCTCTGATAACAGAATTAAAATCAAAGTTGAGAAATCTGTAGCTGTGGAAATGAAGAAATTAAAAGATTTTCAATATGTATTGGTTACTACTTAGATAGAAAGATAACTAGATAGAAAATTGAAAGACATAACTGAATTGAATTGAAACAAGCTTTATAAAATTCAATTTTGATGAAGTTTTTCACTAGTTAGGAATTTATAAAGGAGAAATAATATTTTAAAGGCATTTCGAGAAAGGATGTATTTTTTTTTTAAAACCAATTTTAATGGTCTAATAGTTCTGATAGCTGAGAGAGATTAAAATCTATGTAGTTAAATACGAAGAGTTTCAGAAAATAAATCCTTGTAAATGATTTACAATCTATAGTGTTAGATATTTTGTGAAATACATTTAGCACAAATTTATGCACAAATTCTTCCAGTGACAAGATATAAGGATGATCCTCCCTTTATTTTATTTTTATGCCCATATTTTGAATGGTGAGGTGTATTCGTGGTTTCAATTTCTGAATTTCGTCAAAATTAAAAAGCAATGTTACTTCAGTTATAACCAGAAAGAAAAATCTACTGCCAGAGGTGGATTTCGTCTGGATACAATACAGATAAATGGCCTTGAGAAACCCAATAAGAAGTTATCTGGATAAGAATTATTACATGGGATAGGAAAAGAAATACACATTCATAACAGAAGGGGAAACAGAAAATGATATTGATATTTATGTTCATGTTCATGTTTAGTCATATGATACTAAAAATACTATAATAAAACATTGTCACTGTTTAATAGTGCTTAATACAAATGTAGAGCATTATAGAACTATTAAAACAGAACTTGAATCGTGTTGTTACTCAGAGTTTCACGTTATGCAATCCTTAGACATCTGACCTATTTTCAGTCTGCGGGACGCAGTTGGACAAGTAGAACTGATTCTCATGTCTAAATTTCGAGACAAGTTCGGATAATAAAAATAAAAAGTTATCTAGATGGCTTAATTTAGCTATGCGAAAGCCAGTATCTGGATAGGGTTACAGTGTAAAAGCAAACCAAAACCAAAATTAAATCGAACTAAATCGAATCTTTCTTATTGGTTATAACTAAATTCAATAATCCAATTGTGCAGTGCAAAAGCGTTATGATAATTATTAGTAAGCTTTTCTAATGATTTTCAAAAGAAGAGTTATTTGTAATTTGATTGTCATGTAATTCTCTATAGAGACATACAAAAAGGCTATAAGATGTAAATGATATAATGATAGTAATCGATAATTCATATATCTTTAGAACAGCAGACATTGGTTTAAGGCTTTGTTATCTTTCAGACTCGAAATTTTGATTCAACAATTTTTACTTTCACATCTCTCTGTGTAGAAGCATATTGTCGGCACCCCAGTCAATCCACTTGTTCTACCATTCACATGTTAACTTTCCTCATAAATACTATAGATTCTTGATGAACCTGACATAAGTTACATATTTTGATTTTTTGACTCCAGATGGAGAGTTCAAACATGAACGAAACTAGTCACTGATAGGAATAACTGGTCAATATTTATTTCTTATACTCTACCCCTGCCAATGATTCAGTAATGTTATTGTGGTGAACCTATCTATCTTGTCTTAAGAGAGACACACCAGTCGCCTCTCACTTTCATTTACCAAGACACTCCAGTTGAAATCTTGACTACCAAATAATCAATCAACTCGGACCTAACACAATCCACAGCCAATAGGCGCTCTATTGAACTCCATTGTATTATCAGATTGAAAACTTTTCCAACCACATGGGATCAATGACAAAATCTAAACTTGGACATTGCTATTTCTTAATTCTTATTCCAAATTCTTATCTCTTAATTTGTACGATATTCAACATTTGTCATTGAAAATTGACATTTGTAAATAAAAATCAGAATTTTTACAGAAAAGGAACATTCTTTGATAAAATATCCTCATATACAAATCTACAAATACAAATCTAGCTCATTATATCTTCAAATGCAAAACTTCAAACACAAAACTCTACCAACAAATGTTTAGTAACAAATCTTGTTCAACAAATCTTGCAAAATATTTCTTGCAAATGCATGTCAAATACAAATACAAATTATGATTTTTGTATTTAAATGTCAATTTCGACTGAAAAATGTTGAATTAAGAGTTAAGAATTAAGAAATAGCAATGAAGAACATTGAATAAAAAGTCATTCCGCCTTCTCTCTTTGTTAGCCATAAATCTAATTGTAAAAATCATATAAATTTATCGAACTTGAGGTTTTGCTGTTGAAAATGTGTTGAATCTTCGACAAACTTATTGATTTTATTTTAGTATTTTCCAAGGATGTTATAATGCTTTTAAAATTGGTTTTTCATAAGATTAAAGGGGCATTCTGTTTTTTCGTTTTTTCAAACTCTAGAGAATTGTGTTCGTGGACTTATTTGAAAGTTTTACCAAAGAAAATATTCTGCCATTAATTTTTTAACCTAAAATTATTTAAAAGGTTTATGTAAATACTGTTTGGATTTAAGCAAAATAAATGCATAATTTTAGAGAAATATGTCTCCTACACATTTTTAAGGTTTCAACTTGAAATATAAAGTCTTCATCAGACTCAAGGCCAACTAGTTTAAGCTGCTTACTAAACAATTAATACGCTCCTTTTTTATTAACTCTTTTAAAACAATTTCATATACCTAGTTATTATAAATTATAAATTAAATTATGATTTATGACATTTTTGATAATGAAAATTGTGCATACTGCCCCTTTAAACTGATACCAGTACTTGTGATGTAATGTGATTTGGCAAGCTAATGATTAAAAACAAAGACTACTGAGAATTCAATTAATAGTTGTCAAATTGTCTGGCTTGCATCAATACTAGCGGTAATATATATATATAAGGAAATGAAAAACAAAATGAATCAAACAGTTAGAAAAGAATGACTTGTGAGTGACATTTTTAAAAATTTGATTATGATTTATTGCAGCTCTGGCTGTTTCCAGAAGTAATCTTATTCAAACATAATTTTTTAACTATAGGAAATGAAGTTATAGATGATAGAAATTAAAAGAGAACTTAACCAAAATAAGTCAATGTATGTTCAAATACAAATACTCAATAACAAATCTCTTTCAACAAATCTTGTGCAACATTCCTCCAAATACATGGCGACTATATTTGAAGGTCACGATTATGACGACAGATGTCGCTGTACAACCTACATAAAATAAGATATAGACTATAGATGGCCTCGATCATCCAGTCCAAGGATTTAAAAGCCTTTCCTTTCATAGCATCAACAAGACAAGTGACATTTATAGCCATCAAATAATCATAGGCCTAGTCTTTTAAAAATATTCATGCTATATTTTATAGCTATCTAATAATCATGATCTGATTATTTTCACCTGAACAGAAGCATATGCTTGCTGTTTGCAAGTTTACTTAACATTTTAATAATAATTACTTTAATAGTTAAGTTTAAATAAATACATAAAAAGAAACTTCCAGTAACTTGTAATTGTAAGGGGATATATTTGATGTTTACAATAGGTTTTGCACTAGAAGTATCTCTTTACATATGATCAGATAGGCTTTAACTTAATCTGCGAATCAAATTTTTAGGGGGTGGAAGTTACTGGACAAATATGTGATTCTGAGTTCTGGTAGAGATATTTTCATCACTTAATGATCTATGTGATATGATTGACATTCTTAGTTCAATCTGGCTTTTAGAGAAACAATTAAGGCTTCCTGAATCTCAGTTAATAATGTTGACCCTGGTTAATGATTGTGTTGTTTGTTGTTTGAAACATTCCTATTCACTAATGAATGTGGTCATGAGAGAGATACTACCAGTACTTATAATGTCTTATACCTTTGTATATCCGTGATAGGGAGATTGGAACCATTCAAAAAAATAGTTTTTTACGCTCAATAGTATACCCACTTTAAATTTCAAAATATTATTTTTGTAAATTTTGTCCTCAACCAACATTGACAACAATTGCTTGTAAACAGGATTCTTACCGGATTTTGACGAAGCTTGGTTTTATTATTCAGTACCGTGCTGAAGGTTGAATATTTGCCTTCTAGAGTTTTCACGAGTTAAAAATTGAACACGTTTTAAAGGACAACGGCAATAACTCATACTCAATATTATTCAGTATCGACCTAAAGAGTTCAAAAGAAGTGTATGACTGAAGGTTGAATATTTCATACTGGTGATTGTTACTGTACTGCTTAATATTTTTATTCAAAATCAAAGCTGCCAGTGGGCAAATGTTACCTTGCCTGGCAAGCTATCTTTTGATTATTGCTCTACAGTTTAGGGTAATTCCAATAAAAGTAAATGAGAGATTTTATACAAATTACAAAAACGCGCTGCAAGGAGCATATTTGATTAAAAACATGATTCACCTTCGGCGCCATTATTCATAATTTTAAATTGGTTGACACTGTTTCAACATAATAGATATAATCGTGGCAAACTGTAAAACATAATCCTTCTTTATATACATTTAAACAAGAACTGCAGAAATTTGTTCTTACTGACAATACTGATTAATATTATTGATTCCATATCATCTATAACCAGTCCTTTTCACCATTTCATTTTACTTAAAAAACTTATACCATCATGTAATCTTAGAAACACAGTGTTTATATTTTTTATATTTCTCACCACATCCGTGTTACATTTTAAATGTATGAATATTCTATGAAACTTTCTGTATTTTTATTATATACTAGTTTTGTGGGGAAACATTGTGGTTACATTTTCATATTTCTTTCCTCATCCATGTTACATTGTAAATGTATACCGGTGGTATATGTTTTATGTTATTTTCAGTGATTTTATTCTTTCTGTAATCTTATATATAATTTGTAGTTTAGTGGGACCTATTGAAAATTAGACTTCTGTCTAAATGGGTTGCCAAAATAAAGTTACAATTTGGAATTGTGCAAAAAAATTCTTTAAAAGTCACATTGCTTGGTCAAAAACAAGGCAATAATTAACTCAGGTATTTCATTAAGTTTTATTTACAGATACAGAATAAATGACTGTTGGACCAAATTTGGCATCTTGGCCAATATATTCATTAAATCTTCATGTACTATGGGTCCATCATCCACTCAGTCAAATCATGCTTCTTATGAATAATTCATGTATTCTTAAGCTTCAAGATAGTGTGTGCATCCTTATATTACAAAACCTCATGAATGATTCTTATTTTACCAACATCATGCATAAGTATAATCATCAAATATCTGCCTTACCAGATTCTAGAGCTCAAGGTCTCAAGCAGAATCTGCTACATCTATATTTGAAAAATGTATTAATTAATTAAGGATGTGACAACTGCAAACAGATCCTGTTGTTATTAATATTGGTCAATGTGGCGCAAGTCAGAAATTTAGTGATTCTTTCTTAGAGATTTGGAAGCCCCTATCTAATCAATTTACATCTTGGAAAACATGAAACCATTTGTAGTGAGCCAATTTAATAAATCGTCTCATAAATTATGTTGTGTGCATGACAATCAAACAGTCCCACCTCATAATCCAAGTGACTTATTGATGTACTTAGTATGTAATATGAGATTGTTCGAATTGACTTTTGTAGGAGGAATTCTCAAATTTTGAAGCAAATGATCCATGGTTGCAGAGTTTTATTGCTAATTTAGATACAATTCTTAATACATTCAAGGTAAGGAAGATTTTGATAATGTTTTTAGATTTGAGCATAAGTTAGCTACGGTAAGTTGTCCGTTAATCTGGTCAAGTTGTTAAATAGCTACAAAATTGACCAAATGCAGAAATCAAAGGAAAACATGTTCCGAGTCAGAAAAATGCTAAGTGGACTTTTGTTTTACACTCATTTTTTCCATTTAAGATGTTTTTGGAGAATGTTTTTATTGATATTTTTATTGAAAGGTGCTTTTTGATGGAATAAAATACATTTTGAAATTTGTTTGTTTTGAAATTTGTAGGACTATGATCCTTTAATCCATGCTATTATGAATATATAACAAGTTGGACCCTGTCTTTAATTCTGTAATATTGATTATTTGATTAAAGAGGAAATTAACAAAGGAAGTACATTATGATATTATTGTGTACTGTTAATCATTCTTAGACAATCTGGGTAAGAAATGTCTCATATTACGTTTATAACAAAACACTAATATGTAAACTTTATTTGGCACTAGGGGACTACACAATGTGAATATGAAATTACATAATTGAATAATGAATAATGGAAGGGTGAAACCCTTGATAAATTGTGAACGGATGATCTAAGCAGAAAAGAACATCTCATTAATAAACTAAAATTTAAACCCCTACTACTTTGGGGTAGAATAGTAGAATGAAATTATACTATAAAAGGCCAAAATAAACAAATGTAAGCATTTGTGTAGTCCCCATAGTAGTTAAAGTGGATGGTTGTAGGATTTGAATTTGAATATTCAGGAAGTGAGATGAAGAGCTTTCCTGACTGATTGTAAATCTGGTCTAATGTAACGTCTGTACAGAAGACAAGACTGACCACGTGACTATTTACGCGCGATTAGCAGACGATGCTATTGCCATTTAAGTTATAAACCACTCCTGTATACATAGGATTCAATTTATCTCTGAGCACCTGACAAATTAAGGTAATGTTTTATGAGCTGCTGTTTGTCTGACTATATATGCACCACTGGAATGGATTGTCAAATTATTGAGCTGCTTCTGTCCTTTTACTATAAAAATTCATTATTTCATTAACACAATATTGACAAGAAAAAGATTTACAATCTGTGAATCTTCTGCAAGGCTCGACAGCATATTAAGGCATTGAATTGAGGCCATTTGTTCGTCCAGATAGTTACATAGAAAAGTGATTCTGGCAGTTCAGTTTGTTTGAGACTACAGGTGTTTGTAAATAAAGCCAATATAAACTGAAACTTTATAAGAAATGGATTCAAAATTATAATGAAATTAATAATTGGTCAACAAGTTCCTACAATATATATATATACGTAAGTGTCAAAATTATCCCTCAAAGTTATGGACAATATTTAGGTTGTAATGCGCTGTCACTTGACAAATAATTGTAAAATGCTGGAAGTAAAGAGGCTTGCCCTAGAACACACAAGGAAATCTTGCATAAATCATTAACAACTGCGAGGATGATGAGATATCACATATTAAGACTTTACAGATGATGAGATCTCTTCTTAATGAAAAAATCAAGGATGATGAGAAATCTTCCTATTTCAAAAGTCAATGATGACCAAATATCACATATTAAGACTTTACAGATGATGAAAGATCTTCTTAACGAAAGTGTCAAAGATGACGAGATATCTTTCTAATGAAAATGTCAAGAGAAGGCCTGGTGTTCATGAAAATGAAATGAAATAAAATCATGGAGCTTTTTTAAGTGTTGATCTGTTAATAAGCTGAAAATCTGTAAACCTGCCTCAATCTTTACTACCCCATTACAGTTGGTTTAATTCTGTATAGGAAAAAATGCACATTGGACATGTTTATAAGAAACATTTTTAGAATTTTTGTAAAAAAAAAAAAACAATTGTACTTCCTATTTTCTAAAAAACTTATGCATTATCCTTCCAAAGAATATTCATATGATTCATGAGATTAGTTGAAATTCAAGAGCTATATAGTATATGCTAACCTTTCCTAGAAAGTTATATTTTACACACCTCATTTCAGTGCAGAAACCACATCAGTTAAAACTTGTCAGTAAACAATATGATCAGCATTCTTAGTTTCTTAATGGACACTTACTCCGATATCAGTCATCAATCAAATGTCAAGCCATTTCCTTATTATTGTACATATTATAAAGTATAAAGATGTACTCTAGGTCATCCACAAATTACACGAAACAGACATAAAGTGAATATTTCCAATATCAGAGATCTTCCTTAAAAGATTCTTAGAATGGACATAAAATTTGCTCAACAAGTGTTATATATTCATTAGTTGCACTTACCTGATGACATGACTAAAGACCTCTATATAAGAAGATATTTCCATTAATCTAAATTATTATTTAAACACACTTTTAAGCATGTTTCTTTAATGAATTATTACTTAGTTTTATGGATTTATTGGATTATAGAGGGATTCTTTGTATAGTTTTGACAATAGGTAAGTCCACTGATGAACAATGACTCATGTTAACCAAGTTTACAAATTTCAACTTTTTGGTCATCCTAAGAGGTAGTATACCTTTAATTGTTTTTAAAGATGGGTTCCCTTATTTTCATTCTTGAAAATGAAAATGTTATTTCTTATATGAATAGAAAGCAGATGTGTTCTAATGACTTGGAAAAATACCAGTTTGTATCACATGTCCATAATTAATTCATAATTAGAAGAGAATTATCATCAGAATTCCAATGAGTGACTGATCAAGAAATGTTAAAAGGCCTTTTTTTGTTTATCCAGACTGTACATACATGGTTAAAACTCTTAATTATATGCAATAAGAACATAATGATATGATTAAGAATACATGATAATTCATTAGAAACACCAATTAATCAAATAGTTTGCTTAATTTGACACTAAAAAAATAAGGAAATCCATCTTTAATCTAGATTTATTATAATACCATTCTATATTATTCAAATCCAGAGAAATGTGTCTCTTAACATATCTGAAAGTTTTAACTGGTGGGTGTTAAAAAACTACTGAACAGATTTAAGCAAAACAAATGTCTGATTGTCTCCTACTTATTCTGAAAATATCAACCATTATATAGCCGACACAAAAAATAAGTCAAGCAGCTAAATTAACAATTATTATGCTCCATTTTTATACGCCCACATCTCTCTATGTTTACGTATATTGTCGGCACCCCTGTCGGTCCGTCAACATTTGCTTGTAAACGCTCTAAAAACTAGATTATTCGATGGAATCTAATGAAATTTGGTATGTGTATACATATTCATAAAATGAAGATCAAGTTCGAATTTGGGCTATTTTCGACTGTTAGAAGCAGAGTTATTGCCCTTGCCCCAAAATCTTGAATATGCTATTACTCTCTTAGTTTTCAACTGATTTTGATGAAACTTAGAATGGATGTTATTGGACCTAAATCAAAAGGTTTGAGAAAGTTTAGTTTACTTCTGATTAAATTTAAGGCTTTTTCAAGATTTAGGCCTCTTACGTCAGTTTTGAAGAGTTATCGCCCTTTAATTTCTATACAGTAAGTGCTTTTATCAACATCAATTGCTCGTAAACACTCTAAAAACTAGAGTGTTTGAAGGAATCAAATGAAATTCGGTATGTGCTTACATATTCATGAAACGAAGGTCCGTCAGTTCGTCCGGACGTCAACATTTGCTTGTAAACGCTCTAAAAACTAGAATTCGGTATGGGTACATATTCATAAAACCAAGATCAAGTTGGAATTTGAGCTATTTTCGACCGTTAGAAGCAGAGTTATTGCCCTTGTCCCAAAATCTTGAATATGCTATTACTCTCTAAGTTTTCAACCGATTTTGATGAAACTTAAAATAGATGTTTTGTTTTTACCATCCGCATGCCGTGAAGGGCGTATATGGCTCTGATCCACTATCTTTATTAACCCTTTTAAAACAATTTAAAAAAAATGGTGCAACTGTCACTCTTAGATATTGTACTACTTCATGCTAATGACATATTGAAATCATAATCAACTAAGATGTGCTTAGATACATTTATCATATTACTGTTCATACAGTACTTCACATGTAGAACTTAAGATGCAATTTCATAAAAACTGTTAGCACCTGATGGTACTTCTCTTTGGAGAAGTCCACTACAATACTACCTTTATTCCCGATTTTGCCATTCTTTGGTTCTTGCTTCTACAGATTTTTATTTTAAATTAATGTAACGAACTGTAGCTAAATTATGACTTAATTTGAAAACTTTACTGATTTAGTTCAGACTTACCCACTGCATAGTGACTATGGTTATTATTGTTACAAACTATCACAAACCATTTCAGACATTCCTGGCTCAAAAAGGTTGTAACATCTTACCATACCTGATTCTATATTTTTTTAGGCAAGTTTAACACCAGCTAATAATGAAAAGTTTGTGAATTTAATTACTGGAGAAATAACTGTTCAATTAGAGAAAGCTGTTATAAAGACAGTATTTAACCGGGTATGTACATTGTCCTATTCTGTTCAACTGAAATATCAAATATCCAAAGAAAATACATGTAACCTTCAAAAATGTTAAAATAAGCTTTAGCTTTCAAGATACATTTACCTTATTGAACATGATCATTACCTTAAACCTTTAGCTTGATTTTATATATTTACAGTTAGGTGGTTTACAATTTGATAAAGAACTAAGATCATTAGTTGGATATTTAACTTCAGTCACTACATGGACAATAAGGGATAAATTTGCTAGACTAACTCAGATGGCAACAATACTCAATTTAGAAAAGGTATTTATATTGTTTTGAAGCATGCTGGATAAATTTTCTCGTAATCCTCTTTTATAAATACATCTGTTTATATTAATTTGAGATATTGACAAAAAATGGGGTAATTTGGTTTGTAATGGCAGCAGAGAATGTACAGTTCTGATAAAGTTTAGACGAAATTTGGTATGGTAATGTATATTAATGGGTTCTGGTATGAATTTCATGAATTTTCAATGAACATGTTGGAGTCATTGCCTTTGATTTGGGAATATGTCTTGGAAAAATTGACTCAATACAATACAGTGTCCATCAGATTTTGCAAAAACTGTATGAATTGGTCAGATTTATTTCACAAATTTCTGGATCAATAGTTTATTGAGTTATTGTCTTTTACTTGGGAAAATATATGTCAAAAAATTGGAAAGCACCATGGACTAAATTTTGATCAGATATCCTTGAATTTCATTTTTACGATTTCCCTATCAATAGTATTGACCATGACAAAAATCGCATGAAAAATACCTCAAACTAAGAATTTTACTCAATATTTCTAATTATTTCTAATGAGAATAATTCTGGACGCACATGGATTTGAAGGCCCAAATTTCGACGGTGACCTGTGAACAAAAAAAATTTCCTTTTCTGATAGTATGAGTGGTCAAAAAAATGGGCACCTATCCCTTCAAACAATGAATCGCAGTATGTTCAAAATATCTTTTCTTTGAAACTCTGCCTTTATTTTTATTTTAAATGCTTCAATTGTGTATAGTTCTGACAATATTTCGGCAGCCTTTCCATTTTTAGACATTTACGGATGTTGTTCACTTTATAAGTTAATGAAGTTGTTTATTATTATATTGTACAATCTGTGGTTCGTCTTCCAAAAGCTCACATTTCATTTATGACATCAATAGGACCTAGAATTCTAATCAGATTGAAATGAAACTATATATTTTAATGAGGTTCTTTATCAATCAAAGCTGTTTGGAAATGTTCACTTATCCTGAGAATTAGTTGATCAAATTTAACAAAGATCGAAGAAACCAGAAACCCTCCAAGGATGTAATTTTACTGTCATCATATGATAAAGTTAAAATAGGAAAGATAAATTGCATATCACATTTCTATGTTTTATTATTTGGATTATTCTGATTCAGGTATCAGAGATATTGGATTATTGGGGTCAGAATTCAGGACCATTAACATGGAGGCTGACTCCAACTGAAGTTCGACAGATCCTTTCTTTACGGTTAGTAATATGCACTTTCAAATATTAAATTTCTATTCTTTTAAATGAAACTAAATCTGAATAAGTGTTAACATTCTTTTTCTTTGGTTAATCTGTTTTTATACACCCACATCGTAATGTGGTTATATATTGCTGTCAATCCTGTCTGTCAGTCAGTTCATCCATCCACAATTGGCTTGTTAATACAAAAGAGACTACAATTTTTATCTGATTTAAATAAAATTTGGTGTGGTCATGTATATTGAGATCTTGGACAAGTTCGAATTTGACACAGAAAAACACTTCAAAATTTGTTTTTGAACAAAATAGAGACTTCAGTTTTCATCCGATTTGTTGTGATCAAATATATTAATAATGTCTTGGACATGTTCGAATGAACAGTTTCTTAGTTATTGCCCTTGATTTAGTAAAATGGTCAAAATTTATTCATGAATACCATAAGCTTACAGACTACAATTTTTTCTGATTTCAATGAAATTTTTTGTGATCATTTATATTGATAACATCTTGGTAGAATTTTATTAGATTTTGTAGTTTGGTTTAAATCAACAATATTTTGAAGTTAGATTTTTGGTATGATTTGACACAGATTAACCACTGCCCTTGATATACTGAAAATTTATCAGGGAAGTGGGTGTAGCTTGAAACCACTTGTTTACTTATAATTTTAGTCATTAATTAATTTTTCAGAATTGATTTTCGTAGTGAAGACATTAAGAGATTGAAGTTATGAAAACCCAGATAATATTTGTTATTTTAACCTCTTCAACTTCAAATGGAAACTTACTCACAAAATTACTACCAATTGTCAGCCATGAAATATCTGTGGGACAAATTTGTTTGAATTCCTTTTTTCAGCAAAAAGAATTTCTATCTTGCTTCAGGAAGGTTTTGAATTCTTACAAGTTGTTCTCGTTGTTATTATGTACTTTAATGTGTATAAATGAAAAAAAAATTGTACTCCATCATTATTTATGGGTCAGATATAGTGATCTTAATGGGAACACATCATGACCCATTGCTATGGGTAGATTAATCTAAAAAAAAAAATCAATATGATTAACAATCATCTCATCCTGCCATAAAGATACGAAAAAAATATTCTTACATAAGGTATTTATTGATTTAAGTTGCCATCCCAGATTAATCTGAAATTTTACAATTTATAGCATAAAAACTCATAAATATTCTTAAATTGTACAAATCAGAAGAATGAGCGTTTTTTTTTTTAAAGAATCTGATTATTCAAGGCTATTTCCTCTTCACAATAATTCCAAGCATGTAGTCTGGATAATAAATATATGCTTCTATAAACTAGTATGACAGATTATATACTTTTGCCTGAAGTTGGAAATTTTTTTATTGTTCATTTATTTGTTACACCTAGAGGGATTATGTTGAACTGAGTGATGTCTATGTATTATATACATCTAATAAATGATTCATTGAGTTGAAACCTTTTCTATATGGGATGTTTTCTTTAGCACAGATGTAAGATTTGAATGACATTTAGAAGGGGAAAAATATATAACAAAAAACACAAAGAGGGATTATATTATGGTATGAAACACTTCTTTTATAACAAAGTACGTACTCGACAATGTTTAAACACAGTTTAATAATTGTTTTATAAGCGTCTTCATTATTGTTCTGTTCTCTCTTAAAATTCTGCCTCATGGCTTTCCCCTTTACTATATATTATCCCCTTTTCCTCATTTCATTTTATGGTGACAAATGTAAATTGTGTTGAAATTTGATGTACTATGTTCTTAAAGAAGTGTGTTTTACCAACGTTATCTGATTATTTGTTTTCTCTTCAATTGTATATAGCCTAAGCTTAACACTGATATGTCCCAAGATGGCCAAGGAGTCTTCTTATGTTTTCAGGGAATCAAAATTTCTTGATTAATTTTATGTGAAAAGGAATATGAACATGCCACCTTTCCAGAAATTTAGTCCTATAACTAGAATGATTTTATTTTTGAAAATAAGTCAATAAAAATCCATCACTCGATTTTTGAAACTGATATTCCAGATAACACAAAAATAATTGGTTGACTTGAGATATTAAGTATAATAGGAACCTACTATCAGTAGTCATTGTTTAGGTGTTGGCTAAAACATATTCATCTTTTTAGCTGAAGGAATCATTGACATTCATTCAAGTGGCAAGTCATAAACCCCTGTTATGATTTTGTTGAATTGCATCATTAGAACCACATTCCAGATTTTAATGCCATCAAGTGATACATTTGCCTGTAATTGATTAGTGTCATCTGGTATTATTTAGATGCAAATATTTATTTGTTTAGGAAGTGCTATGTATTCAGTGAATTACTTTATTTTAGGTGTATTGTTAACATAGAAAATACCCTTGAAGCCTTTTTAATGCAAGTATTGTCATAAATTTGACAGAGTTTCTTACTTTATATCACTGCAATAAAACTGTCTACATTTCACCAAGTTGAAACAATAAAAAATATAAAGATGCTGCTTTTGGATGGCATTTATTCTCGAAGAATACATCAGACATCAAATATAAAACAGGAACTGTGAGGAAAATGTCAAAGTAGGAAATATAAAATACAATGTATTGACTATGTCAGCGTAAAAGCTAAAAAAAACCACAACTGTAGTGCTTCATATAGCATAAGTGATTTCCTGACATTACTAATACAAAATCATATTCCAAAGGTTCTACATATAGTAGAGCATATGATAATGACAAATTTATTTTAAAGCTCCTGTAATTACTATTCAATGAGCAAAAGATCAAATTAAATGCATTAATGCATGTGAAATTTTGAGGAAAAAACTGTTGTTATATATTTTAAGTCACTTCTGGTTGTGCAAAAATGTTAATATATATTCATTAGGTAATTAGACACAGAGGTGGATCTCTTGCATGGTAATATTTTAGGAAAAGGAATTCAGAAATTTTGCCAAAATACATAAAAAAAAGTTAATTATGTGGTTCAAACTTATATGAATTGATAAAATACCAGTTTGATTTTCTAGATGATTTGATGACAGATGTCAAGCTTAACAAAGGTTTTTTCTTCAAAAGATTTTATGAAAAAATAATTTATACATGACTAACAAATTACTGAATGATTGGTAAAAAACTAAAACTGGATAACTTCACAGATATTGATGATTACTACCAGCACATTAAAATACATAAATATAAAAACAATAACTGAGAATATTTATTGTAAAGGTGTCCCTGAACATATAGTGTGCTTTATATATAACTTTTTATTATTCTCACTTTTCACATATCTTGCTCTTATAGTTTGAAATGCAATAATTCTGATTAAGGTTGATTATCTTTGAATTTTACAAAACACCAAAAGGTTTTTTGACTGTTTAATTATATTGATTTGCTGAACCATTAATACCATAATAGTGGTTTTACATCTCTTATGTATCGGTTCTGTTTTCATGCTAAAATGTATAAATGGGTTTATGAATTAATATGAATTATTGTAGATAAATATTGTATATATTATCATTTAGTGGGAAAAATATTATATTTTGTATATATGATAAGATTAAGAATCTATAAATCAGAAATATCGTCTTTTTTTAGATACCTGAAAAATGTCTTACTCCCCTGGCATTGTTATTTTTAATGTAACAATATGCCATATTCCCACTCTCAAAAGTACAGAAAGAAGTGAAAGATTATTGTCAGGATGGTCTTCACAGATGGAGAATGATAGTCAGTATCTAATGTGTCGTCCTTGAATGCCATCGCCACAAGTGTTCTATCGGGTTTAGGCTCCAAATGAGACATTACTCTAATATGCTATTGGGAGAAGGTCCTTGTGGCTGTGGCTATGGCTATGGCTATGTGTAGACGGGCGTTCTCATTCTGGAAGTATTGGTTACAGAATTTTGCAAATTTTGGATCGGAGAATGCAACAGGCGGCTCTAACTCCAGGGTCTCTGTCTGGGCCAATATTCTGGAAGACAACAGGTCTAAGTTTCTGATTGAAGCCGGTTGCATCTCATACCATAATGATTGGTACTACCCACGAATCCCTATCAAACACATACTGTTCTGTAAAACGTGCACATCCTCTTCATCACATATGTACTCTGCCATCTGCCGTGGAAATACAGTACCGACTCGCATCTGAGTAGTGTTGTAACGAATCCGATGTTGGATGGTTGGTTGGTAGATGACAAGTTTACATTCGCTTCCAACGCATGCTGATGGATTTAATGGAGGTGAACTGGTGGTCTCGTAGAACGTTGTCGGTGCGGAGTCTGGTTACCAGTTTGCAGATGGCTACAGATGGATGGTTTGGTAACTTCGGATCAATTTGGTAACAAGCGATGATGATTTTCCGTAGCATGTCAGCCCAGTCCCAGATACGGTAGAATTCCGAATAGGAATATTCTACAGGCTCGATCTCCTCCAGACTCCGCCTCTTTGATTAATTCCAGGGATGGAGACATGCGATGGAACTCATACTAGTTCAATCTTTCTCAATGGTTGTTACACTAGAGTTAAAAGCATTGGCAATGACTTGGGTACGTTGTCCGGCATTTTATCGTCCGCTGGTTTGTTCAAATTGTTGGGAGGTAGGACGTGCCATGATTGCTGTTGTCACAAAGCAACTGATTTCTCAGTAGGTGTCGGGTTGTAAAGGAAAATAACAATTCTGATCATGCACGATTACATTCCAATAATCAAAAAATGCGACGTTTCTTAATCTGTTCAGTATATTAATCAGCACCGTATATTAGGACAGATACCATAACTCTGAACAATGACTCTTTTCAGTGCACAAATAATTAATTTGCCAAAAGGAAGCTATAATAAATAAAGCCATATATAACATTCATGAATATATATATATAGCTGACAAAATTTACAATATGTTTCAAATAAAGCCCATGGCAATAATTTTTTAATTTCAAATAATTTCTTTTGTTATCATGTCAGTTTTATTGAATAGAAGTAATCCCTTATATTCAGCTCAATCAACGCAGATATTTTGCAATATTTTCATAAGTTTATAATATTGCTTATCCATTTATCAGAAGTCAGGAGCTGTTAAAAGTACTTACATACAAATAGTGGATCAATAAATCTCCAATACAGTGGTGTAACCTATTTTCGTGGATATAAGGATTCAACACCGAATTTCGTCAAAGTTAAAAAAACGAAAAAAGTTTTTTATGTCTTGGATGTTTCCTCAGATTGGTTTATTTCGATTTTCTTTATGAATCCTTCACTTTGACCCATATTTCATGAGCAACCAACTCGGCAACGGCGGCAGAATGCGTCACCTATTTGCGTGTACAATGTTTGGTACATAAATAAGTCGAGGAAAACACGTTGTATGGATACCGGGTGGTATAATTAACTTCCCTTAGTATTTATCTTCAATATCAATTCATTATAACTAGTGACAATTCCTTCAAAGAACCACGATTTAAAAAAAACAATAGTGACTGACAAAATAAGATACGTAGCGTGATTTATTGCTAAAAGTCATTGAAACAACATAAGAATATGGTCCACTTTGTGTTCCATAGAAATTTTCTGCTGACACGGAATCCTCTAGTTGATCACGTGACTTCATTCGTTGGACTACATTCTAGCAGACGACACTTGGAATTCCGATTACAGCGTAGGATTGGGAGGAAATTCGGCCTATAAAAAATTGAGACGTTTGGTAATAACTGAAATCCGCCATTTTGTATTTGTCAAAGTAT